CACACGTACACACACACACACGCACACACACACACGTACACACGCACACGTACACACACACACACACACACACACACACACACACACACACACACACACACACGCATACACACACGCACGCACGCACGCACACACGGTCATGCACACAGAGATACACACACATAGACAGAGACACGATAGCATGTTATGCCTGCTCACAATCGCTGCCTCTCCTTCGAGTCGTCGCTGTCGTCGTCTTCGTTGTCATCCACGCGCTGCAGACATCAAACACATACACAGCAAGAGCGACCATGAGCTTACACCACCTTACAACAACGACATCGCCGTAGCACTCGCACACCGCTAACACCGCGACCATCACGACCACAGCCACCACCAGCAGCACCATCAACATTGGCATCATGATGCGTGGTTACCACGTGTTCGTGCGGGGAGCGGCCTGACGCCGGCGGACCCAGCACGGCCTGCAAATCCTCAAACGTCAGCACCTCCCGCTCAAGCAGCAGCTTGCTCAGCTCATGCAGCTGGTGAAGGGTGTTGTGAACGGGTGTGTGAGTGTGTGTGAGTGTGTGATTGTGAATGTATGTGAGTGTATATGAGTGTGTATGTTTATGAGGCTACGCGTGCATGGTTGGTGCCATTGCAGAGACACAAGCTTGTGTGTGCCATGTGCCCGACACGCTGCCAGCAAAGACAGCTCACCTGCTCCTCGTGGGATGCAACGAGCTCCCTGGCCGATGCGTAGGCAGAGTGGACAAGACGCCCAACCTGCAAGTGGCGCACAGCGGTATGAAGGAGGCGGGTTGACCGCGGTTCAAGGCAGCAGGAGGCAGCAGGGACAATCCATACAAACACGTGACAGGAGCACACACACACACGCACACAGACACAGACACAGACGCACACAGACACAGACACAGACAAACACAGACACAGACACACACAGACACACACACACACACACAAGAGACACACCTCCTCATCAAACTGTTGGCTGAGGCGATTGCTGAACTTCTTCTTTCCTTCGTCCTGTGATTGCGGCACCTGATGCACGAGCAGGCCGACCTGGTGGTGGTGCCAGCGTCGTGGACGTATGTGCGTGTGTGCGTGTGTGTACGTGCGTGCGTGGTGCGTGTGTGTGTGTGTGCGTGTGTGTGCGTGTGTGTGCGTGTGTGTGTGAGCATGCGCTGAGGAAGAGGACACACACTTGCGATGCACAACATGCACATACATCGTCACACGAAACACACGTGAGCGCACAACGCCCCTCCTCTCTCCCCCCTGTGCAATCTGTATTTCTGTGCACTTGCAACGTACGCCTGAGCTCATGCCGTAGCGGGTGACCTGGTCGTAGGCCATCTTCGTCACGCGCTCAAGATCATCACGTGCGCCCGTGGTGATGCGGTGGAACACGGCCTGGAATTGTGGGGGAGGGATTGAGTTAAGTTGCGGTGGGAGTGCGTGAGGAGAGTGAGGAGTGAGTGCGCACGTGTATGTCAAAACGCACAGACAGACAGACAGACAGACAGACAGACAGACAGACAGACAGACAGACAGACAGACAGACATACCACACACACACACACACACACACACACACACACACACACACACACACACACACACACATGGTGCGCACCTCCTCGGCTGCGCGGCCGCCAAGGAGGGTGACCATCTTGTCGCGCAGCTGCTCCGTCGTGTACAGAAAGTGGTTTCCGTGCAGGTACTGTGTGTACCCGAGCGCCGACGCCCCACGCGGCACAATCGACACCTGGCAACAGGGGAGGAGTCACACGTGTCGGTGGTGTTATTGCAATATTGCAATGGGGCCAGGTGCAAGAAGTGGTGTGCAACGGACGGCGGCGATATGTCTCGCGTTGTGCGAGTTGCGACAGCACAATATGATCATCACCACCACGCCCACCACCATCACCATCACATACCATCATGCCCGTCACGCCCACCACCATCATCATTACCTTGAGGACGGGGTCTGTGGTTGCGAGGAGCCACGCCACCAGGGCGTGCCCGGCCTCGTGGTACGCAACAATCTTCTTCTCCTCGCTCGAAATCACGCGCGTGCGCCGCTCAAGACCTGGAATACCAGCAGCAGCGGCGGCAATCGTGGCGGTGGCGGTGAATGGGGGGGGGGGGGGGTTAGGGGTCGGTGTGGACAGATGCCAGGTTGCATTCGTACACACACACACACACACACACACACACACACAGCACACACACACAGCACACACAACACAACACAGCACAAAACACACACACACACACACACACACACACACACACACACACACAGCACACACAACACAACACAGCACAACACACACACACACACAAACAGCAGGCAGGAAGACAGGCTCACGGATGAGGAAACTTAACACAGCACACACATACCCAACACTGCACACCACAACACAACACAACACTGCACACACACACACACGCACACACACATGCACATTCACACGCACCGCCAAGCACGCGATCAACGGCCTGTTCAAAGTCCTCCTTGCCGATGCGGTCCCTGTTGTAGCGTGCGGCATACAGGGCAGCCTCGTTGCAGATGGAGGCAATTTGTGCGCCGCTCAGCCCGGGGGTGAGGGCAGCAAGGCGCGGGATCCAGTCCCGCACACCGCGGGCGAGGCGGAGCTTGCGCACGTGCAGCCGGAAGATGTCCTCCCGCTCCTGGCGACCGTCGTGACAATAATGGTGACAATAGTGAATGGTGGCGGTGGTGACAATGGTGACAATAGTGAATGGTGGCGGTGGTGGTGAGGGTGAGAGATGGGCGCGCGAACGTTTGTGTGGCTGTAACAAACACAGAGGAAGCACACACACACACAGACACAGACACACACACACACACACACACACACACACA